TTTTAATGACATTTTTGCAACAGCTTTAAGTTACATTGAATATCAGACATGCAGACCGTGTGCACCCATATTTTTTTCAAGAAAAAAACCTCTCCTACCTCTTTGAGAATATTTTTGTCTGCCTGTTTTTCATAAAACTGTCATTTGATGAACTTAGCAACTTGTATGCGTTGATTTTGGAAGAGCAATAGTGTCTCCCGACTCCCAGATTCAAAGTGTGAGGCCTACAGTTGTTGTCGGACAGGATTCCGATCTTTTCGTTCTATTCTTAGGGCTACCACAGTGCCAAAATGTACAACTCTTCTTCCACAAACCCTCTGGCATACCATCAACCTATGACATCGGCAAGACCCGTGAAGAGATTGGTGATATGAAGGATGTGATATTATTTTTTTTATGCTATCACATAATGTGATACCACGTCTTCTTTATTCGGCAAAGGCAAAATCAACGAGAACAAATCGGAAATGGTCAACATCAATTTCTTTTTTAATAAAAAAAATTAAGATACCGCAATTATTTTCTTCAACATAAACGAAATATTACATGCATTTTCAAACAAAAAACTATTTAAAATACATTTTTTAGCTGTACTTATACAAGGACTTATTAATATTTGACACAAATTTAAAAAGGGTGGAATTTAGGTTTTGTTTAGAGAAAATGCAATAGTGTACCTTAAAGTTAAAAAAAAACACTCACTATACAACAATATTAGCATTGCAACGCCGCGCCGCCGGGCCTACCTCGACGAAGCCCGCCACGACTGGGTACGCATTCTGCATTACACCGGCTGAATCTCACAGGCTCTTCAACAAAGTACGTACTATGTCATATCATTTTAAAGGTAATAATGGGAGCTACAACTTTTGTAGGTAACATTTTTTGATAAAATGTCGGCGTGAAAATTTCTGCGACAAAAAGTAAAATTACGTGCCGAAAAATATACCACTTTTTACCTTTTCATAGTCAGTACCAACAAACGGTAAAAGTTACGACGAAAGTCAACTGAAACTTATTTGTAGACAATGTTATAGCAAAGAGAATAAAACAAATTGCAATCCGATATGTTGTTTAGTAATCGAGAGAGACGCGATTTACGAAACCCCTACACTTTTCATGTTTAGGGTGGCACAGGGGGGGAAGCAAGGGGGGTAGGAGCGAGGACTTTTGGCTAAACACTTGTCTAATTGGTAGTAGTCGATGGGGAAAAAATTAGCTTTATACTATTTTTTTCCCACTAAAAACACAGGTTGACTGGACTAAAGGAGCTAACGCAACCTAAAGGTAACGGATGTTCCCCTTCACAAACAGTGATGTTGAGGGGTCGGACGACTCTAGTCAGTGATGTAGTACAAAGGGCCCGAATTTGTGGTCTAGGCACGTGTTCGTCCACCCTCCTATCGTAATCAAGAAATCAGAATTTAATACTCATTCAAAATCAGAATCATCCCATTGTCAGGAAATAATTTGTTATATTGTTTAAACTATAATATCAACATTTACCTACGGAAAAAAATGTTTTTAAATGTTTTCGCGATAGTTATGAATATGTCAATTGCTTTTATTGAACGTTTAGTATCTGTCGCATTTTTTCCATTTGTATAAAGGTTATTAAATTCTAATCAGATTACGAAGTCATGGCATAAGGAGTGACATTGGACATTCGATAGAAAAGTATTGTTTGAACGCGACGTAGATACATATTTCACGAAAATTCATTTAATAATAATAATAATAATAATCATATTTATTCAAAAAAAAAAAAATTTTTTTTTAGAACCTCATGGCATAGATTCAGCAAAACGCTGCTCTTCCATCTACACCATGACAAAACAGAGAATATTTGTACAGAGCAAAACAGCGAAAGAAAATAAAATTATTTTAGAATAACTACTTACTAAGTAGGTATAGTGAAATGATGAATGAACAGATTGAAAGATAAAAGACAATACGAACAGGAATAATCAACAGTAACACGAAATCAAATTAAAGAGTGAAATAAAAGGTTAAACAATTGTTTTTTGAACTGACGAGTTGATAAACTCTTAAGAGGCGACGGCAATGCATTGTACATCACAGCAATGGTGTAGCTAAATGACCGCTCAAATAGTGCTGTTTTATGTTGAGGTATAGTTAGTAGCCCTCTATGCCTAAGATTTAAATTGTGAATGTCAGTCCTAAATCTGATCTTATTGTATAAGTATGGTGGCCGCTTATCGGAAATGATTTTATGAAATAAAACAGCATTTTGGAGATGCCGTCTACTCGTCATTGATAGCCAATTGCGTCCTTTAACTTATGAGTAATGTGGTCATATTTAGAGATTCCGTATACAAAGCGGAGACAAGAATTCGGAACACGTTGAATACTATGCGTTGTATCATGGGTAATACAGGATGAGTAAACCGGGGAACAGTGAGCAAAATGTGATAACACCAGAGAGTTGCATAACATTAACTTAATTGAAGTACCTACTCAAATAGAATTTATGGGGAAACAATAATCTCAAGTTCAAAAATGCTCTCTGAATGCACATTGTAACGTGAGGTCTAAACCTAAGGGATGTGTCAAGAATAATTACGCCTAGATTCTTACATTTATCCACAAATGGGATGGCCAGATTATTAATGTGCATTCTGGGCATTTGGGATTTTGTTAACTTATTACTAAATAACATGGCATTACACTTAGCGGGATTAAGCTGCAAAGCATGTTTTTGGCAAAAATCACGGGTAACTTTCAAGTCGTAGTTGATTTTCTCAAAAGCCTCGTGTAGTTCAGTATGACAAAATGAGTAGTAAATCTGCGTGTCGTCCGCATACATATGAATGTTACAATGCTTCAATTGTTTACACAGAGCACTTGTATAGATTAGGAACAATGTAGGACCCAATATTGAACCTTGTGGTACACCTTTAAAAACGGCTCGTGGTTCGGATATGTTGTTATTGCACTTTACCATCTGAGATCTGTGTTTTAAATAGAGAATAAGTTTATCGCACTATCCCCAAACCCAATATAATTAAATATTGCTAGTAGCATCGAATGGTTAATGGTGTCAAAAGCCTTGCTAAAATCTAACAGTGCAAGTACACAACTATTTCCAGAATCTATTGAAGATAAAATATCGTCAACGATATGTAAGAGGGCCGTACTACAGCTATGGGATGATCTAAAGCCAGACTGTGTAACTGGGATAAGAGAGTTCAGTTCTAAATGAGTGATAATTTGGGAGTTAACGACACGCTCGAGAATTTTTGAGATCGTCGGTAAGATGCTGATCGGTCTAAAATCATTCATCATCTCGGGTGCTTTGACTTTCGGAACCGGTGTAACTAAAGCAATTTTCCACTCTTCCGGAAAAATAGAATCAGCTAAACAACAATTAACAATGTGGGTGACGTAAGGTACAATATATGGGCAGCATAACTTAATCATCTCCAGATTGATGCCATCAATACCCATCGAATTGCCTTGAAGCGAATTTATAATTTTGAGAATAGCTTCTTGATCAACAAGGTTAAAATTAAGCTTAGACTGCACAACGCAATTAAATTTGTAGTGATTCAGAACTTCCTGATCAATAGGTAAATCTGGCGTATTTAAAACAAAGTGATCATTAATTGCATCAGCATCTAGTTGAAGATTACTAAAGTCATTTTTACGGCAATCCTTTATATGCAATCGTTTGAGTTCGGACCATAATTGTTTGGAATTTTTTGTTTGAGCAATGAACTTAAAATAGGCTCGCTTTTCAGATTTAATTGCATTGTTAGTCATATTTCGCAGTTGCTTATAATAATTCCAGCTTCCCCCAGAAGGATTATGTGTGTGCCTATTTTTTGCTTTATCCCGTAAATTCATTAAAAGCCTAACATTGTCTGTTAGCCAGGGTAATGGTTTTCTGGAAAACGCTACTGTACACCAGGGAGCATGTTTATTAAATAAGGCAATTATGCAGTTATTGAAAAAGTGAATCTTGTCATTGATATTGCCAAGTTGGTACAAACGTTCAAGAGATAAGTTATGCAACTCTTCATAGAACAAAACACTATTGAAGCGTTTATAGTTACGAAAAGTATGAATCGTAGGCACTTTTTGAGTAGAGGGAAATAATACATCGCAAAATATCAGTTCATGATCAGAAAAGTGTGCACCAGCTACTCCACTCCTGCTTATTAATTGAATCGTCTGAGACAATAATGAGATCCAATAAAGAAGCTTTGTGTAAACCAATTCTAGTAGGCTCAGAAACTAACTGCTTTAAATTAAACGACTCAAGAGAATTAGCTAGGTGGGATGTAGCTGGATGATCAAGATCTAAAAGGTCAATATTACAGTCCCCTAAACAAACAAAATCGGCGGCCAATGACGAGCACAGAAGAATCGAATCTTCTAATTCGTTTACAAATCCTTTGTAATCATGATTGGGAGGCCTATAAACTACACCGACAACAATTTTAACACCTTTTCCGCTTACCAAACACCACAGTTCTTCAATATTGCCAGCTGTCTTTATTAAAGTCATATTTAATCCTTGCTTATAGTACAAAGCGACCCCGCCGCCCCTGGTCGGACGATCATTCCGTAGTATTTTAAAATTGTCAAATTCCAAAACGTTAGAATTAATTTCACTTGTCAGCCAGGTTTCCGAAATGGCCAAAATATCTAAATTATGCATGAAGATTTTCTCTTTTACATCGGATAATTTAGGGACTAATGAACGTACATTTATATGCCCAATTTTTATATTCCTGTGCGACATGCCTAAAACAAAATAAATTAATTAAGGTGACAATACACAAAAAGAAAAAAAAATTTAATTTATTAATTACGCTTTAAAAATTAAAAAAATAATAATAAAATAAGGTGTGCGCTCTAGCCCATCAAAAATGAGAATAATTTTCCGGCAAAAGTTTGCATAATTTAATGTGAGATATGGCAAGGTAATCTAAATTAAATTAACATTACATTCGCAAAACAGGAGAAAACATGAACTAATTAAACTTCGGAACATCATTTAAATCAGCGTCAGTTGTTATCAGCCGTATTTGGTTATTAATTTTACAATACAATTTGCCATCCCTGGACCAGCAGTTCTTGTTCCCAACCTTGGATAGTAGCTCCCTAAACAAGGATAGTCGTTCCTTAGTTAGGTCTTCCTTGATTACGACGGGTGTCCCCTTAAGAAGCTTCCGTTTCCTAATGATGGCTTGTTTAGGCTCATATCCTTTAAATTTAATTATAATCGGACGTGGTTTGTCCCCAAACTTCCCAAATCGATGCAGGCGGTCTATATCACCTTTATCCAACTTGACACCCATTCTTGTATTCAATAGTGAGATAACCTTGTCCGTTAAAACTTCGTTATCTTCTTCCCGAACGCCAAATATCAAAATATTATTTCTACGGGTATACTGCTCTAAATTATCTAATTTACGATTGAGCACAGTAGTTTTTTCCCACACTTTTTCATCGACGTAGGTTTTTAACTTTTCAAAAATCTTCTCGGAAATACTGGTAACCAACTTGTTGAAGAAGTCTCCATCTTCAAGCAGACCCTTGACTGCACCTGCCACTGCATTATTAATTTCAAAAAGTTGCGTTTGTTCCCGTGTCATTCGATAGAAAAGTATTGTTTGAACGCGACGTAGATACATATTTCACGAAAATTCATTTGATAGTTACAATCAGGGTTACAATACATAATTTGTCTCGAATCGTGATTTGTGCAATAATTCATTAAACTTCACCCTTGGTCTCGACAATAATCAATCAACAACAATTCCTCACGTTTATCCTAATTGTTTTATCCGTTCTTATACCACCTTCAAAAAAGAAATTCCAACGTTCCAACGCATTTTGGGGTAAGTGGATTGATTATTTTTTATACTTCATGCTTAGAAATTAGAAACCTACTTAACGTGAAAGATTACAATCCATTCAAAGATTAAACAGTATCAACAGTACCTCAAGTGAGCGAAAAAGGGGCTTCGCCGCGCCGCGCCCTTTCGCGAGTAAATGCGCTACGGCCTTTAGGTACGTTGTGTGCTGGATATTGCTATTATTGTTTAAACAATATAAATAATTATTAACAGCAACTGCGGGAGAGATTGTTGATACTAAATTTTTAATAAAAACAATTGACAGTATCGTAAATATCGTGAAAAAAATGTTAAAACTAATTTTTCCCGTAGTATAGTAACGTTTCTGATTGTGAATAGTGCTAAAAAAGTTAAATTCTTCGTTAACTCGACTATTAATAAACTAGACCCAATTACTGAGAACTAGCTTGATAAACAAGATGAAAAAGATTTTCGGCTGCTACTCGGACGGTGGAAACTTTCACTCAGCAGACAACTGCTTGGTTGTAACCCACTCATACTAACGTTTTCTGAATACAGACAAACAGTTATTAAAGACTTTCCACGAACTCTTTACAACTTCACTGGACGATACCTTAGATCTTTTATTAAGACGGCTTCACACTTTATTTCGAAACTAACGAACTGCGTCTTACACAAAACAACTAAGATCAAACTGCTCTACTTAGCATACAAAAATGTACGTTTACCGTTGCGAACTAACAACCGCCGTCATCTCCTTACGGTGTCTCCCGTATTTAAGGGAACATCACTTCCATCAGAATAAACTGACAAAACAAATTTCCAAAAATTTTTATTTAAATTCATCAGCAAAATTTCAAGCGTCAACTTCTTATGCATCCATTCTTCTATTGCCGCATCCATATCGTATTATTATGCATATTGAATCATATCGCCTTTCGATTACTAATTAGGCAGTTAGTAGTAGTGGCTTTACTTTTCACTTCACCTTAATTAACTTAATTAATTAGTTTAAAATTTAAAAAAAGACCATGGCATTTACGTACCTATTTTAGATTTTTTTATGCTTATGAGTGACTTCCGAATATATTGGAGGCATTCCTTTAGCCTTACAGCTAAAATTTCTGTTGTTTTTGCGCTACATTATTAGAGCAAAGCCCTACCAGAACCCTTTGAACGACAGTAGACGGAATTTAAGTAATAAGTTTATTTTGTAGCTGAATTTGACAGGATAACGATGTCTTTATAAGTTATAATCGATCACCTACTTTAAATTTGATGATGTGTTGATAAATATTATTATCATTCTCCTACCATGAAGTGTCTTTAAACTTTTAAATTAATCCTTCTTGACAAGCGAAGGAGAGTGTAATTTATCAAACGCAAAAATTTTTACTTTATTGTTCCATTGTTAATGGAAAATTCATTAAAAGTAAATTTAATTTGGTCAATGTTAGCACAGCTAAATGGTTTTGGATGCCGCCAAATTGTGACTATCACAATTTAGGCGTTCTTTGACTTTTATCGTAATTAATTTTAAATGAAGGTTCTTTATCGGCTTATACTCCACAAAATAATCTTTAAGAAGTTTGCGAAGGCATCCACGATCTGGATTAAAGTTGCATGTGATCATGAAAATTGATGCGTGAAGGGTGCGGAAGAGCCTTTTACTTTCGTTTTGTTAGCGCTATAATAGGTACACGCATAGAAAATTTGTAGCTTTTTCACCCTTTTAAGTATCAAGAGAGACGAATTCGCTCAATAAATTGTTCATCTCGGCACGTTTCCTTTCTTTTCCGTGGCTCGTTATATATGAGCATGCACGTGCAATACACATGATTCCGAATTATATTCTTTTAACACTGAATTATACAAGAGAAACAATTGGGAAGGAAATACTGGACTTTCGATACAACTAGATTTGTGAAAAAAACGTTAACTATGGCGAGATTTGTAATGCAATTTTAGCACGCAACTCCTCCATAGTTAACTGCTGCATTTGATACGAAAGTACGCATAAATATGTAAGGGACGTTTAAATTAGTATTCGTAATGCAATGCCGATAGATTAATCCGCTAATACACAAATCCCAAATTGCGTGTTAAACATAAATTAAAGAATACCGTCGAAACGGACAGAAGCCGCTTATTTATCGGATGACACTTTATTAGACAAATATCGCCAACAGTCCTATTCTATTCCCGTATAATCCACCATTCGTTCCAATATAACCATCTAGACACGCTTAATAAATATTGACAAAGAACTTTGTTCTGTAAATAAATAACCGATAACGGCTGTAGTGTTCCATGCAAAGCGAAATAAAGGAACGTATCTTTAGTAACTGTCGGTTCCTATTTATGATATGTTAAAAGTAATACTCGCCGAGATATTTATTCGCAACTTCAGACTTTGAAATAATGGAAAGCGCATTATTTCTAAATATACGACTCACAGGTAGGAATAATCGTAAAATAACTTTATGTCGGACATGTTTATTGTTCATGTGGGGAAAATGGGCAATAAGTTACCGTTTCATTTTGATGTGGTTTTTTTTTTAATTTATGGTCGGATTAGTTAATTAAGATTTTAGAGCTGCATTCAATGCCATAAATTCTTCAAGAAAAATTACAAATTGTTTGTGAACTTTCCTCTTTTGATGCTATTTCTGTATCCGTCGAGTTATTTGGCTTCATTTTGTAGACCTATATTTCGATTTTTGTACGATATCATCAGCTTCTATAAAGGTTTCCCACATGACAGTCACGGTGTCAAAATTTTCTCGAGAGAGCATCTACACCTTTCATGCAGGCTGTATTTTGCACGGTCTTACGGTTTCCTATGCATTGTAGAATAATAAAAGATCGCGAACTACTGAAATGGAGTTTTCCTTGTAAAATTCTTTTGTGAAAATCCAGAAAGATACCGGCGACTAGCCCCATAACAAGAAAATTTCACTATATCTTACTTACTGAAACCTTCTGTTGTGATTTAGTGGAAAAGTAGCTTCAAAATTGCCACGATCTTTGTCGGAAAGTCCACGCACAATCGGTCGCTTTAAAAGTAAACAGCAAAATTTTAAAAAAAACCTAAACCTCTCCCATACTTCTGATCTATAATTTTTTTAACCTGCTCCTTTTGCATTTTTAACAGTTAAAATGTTCACAAAATGATCTTAAATATTGGATATTGCAGTATTTCCACTTTCTCGGCCCAATTGCAAAAACGACGGTTTTGTATAAACTTACACGAACTAATAAAACTCAATCGAATATCGCAGAACTAACAGCTCCATGAAATATCAAGGGAAATGCGTGAAGTAGGTATAGCATAAACAACATTGTGTAAGTTAAGTGTAATTTACAATCAACTTCACGAACGTTTTCTCACGTTTTTCCATATCTACGATTTTCTGCACTATTAAAAATGTAGTTAGGCTTTTATTTTTAGTAATGTACTTATGTCCAGCAAAAAAAATGTTACACATTGGTTATAGCCGGCGTTCTGTTAAAATGTATTGAACCAGTGATATACACATATTGCGTTTTAAATTTCCATCACAATTATTGAAATTATAATTTGTAAACAGGACATAATGGAAAATCACGTTTTCGTGTATGTGACACTGCACGACACTTTAATTGCTCGGGACTGAAATGGCATGTTTATGGAAATTACTGACGCCTGACCAAATCCAATTCAACGCTAATATTTAATCAGATCAGATCAAAGCGCAAATTACATATTTATGGCAAAAAAAGCAAAGCGGAAATAAAATAAATTGGGATCACTCCAATATGCTGCTGATGACAATAACAAGATGTTTACTCTATCCTTTAGTATTATACAAATAACTGCTATTTGGTTGTTATTAGCCTAATGGGCGAAGCATTTCAACATTCTACTTTACCATTCACATTAATTCGAATTCTGTACGTCATTTTTAGATGTACTTCCGCCTGCTTTCTTTTCATCGCGTTCGACCATTTTTTTGTAAACCACCCACCCACCTTATGATTTAGCGGGCACGTGCTACATAAATCACTTTAATCGCCCAAAAAATAAACAGGTTACAACGAATTTGATTTGCACGCGCCCATAGAAATTAACGAAGGCATTTTGTTACAGAATCCTCACCGACAATAAACTGGATTCCGTTCATCCGAAAGCTCTCTCCGGGAATCTGCAATTAAAACGATTGTAAGTAGAAGCGTGTCGAACTAATTATTTTTTAGAGATCCCAATTTAATTAAGGTCAAGTTTTATTGCACAAGCTAATACGTCATAGCGTATAGGGAAGGAAGTTTTGCAACTTGTACGTGTTTTACGCGGCTTTGGCTTAAAGCCATTTCATTTATCTCAAGTTGGAAAGCTACTGTTATTTATTAGGGATAGACTGTTTAAAGCAGATGTATGATTTATTAGTTCAATGAATGCAGACAGCGTAATGCATTTGTCTTAAGTAGTTCAATTTAACGCATTGTTTGCAAACATCAATTATTGTTGTTGAAAGTAATATGTACATACATTTTCGCTAAGAGCACATTATTTGTACTTGCTTCTGCTATTGTGGGAGGAAGAAGCGTCAGAGGCAGCATGATGGACTTTGAATTCCGGTTTCGGAAGTCCCACAATATTACGGAAGTTCTGTCAAGCCACAAGCTATATAACATAAAACAAGGAATATCTCAAGATCATGCGTGAATGACAAGGCTCATTTCTATATAGTGTTCCTTTATAATCATGTCCAAGATATCTTGTGAAGGATCCATTTATTGCAATAATTCTCTTACGAAAAGACCATATATACCAGTAAGCAAGAAAATGTAAACGTTTGAGTTGTTTTTAGCCTTTGTAGCCGGATAAAATGGAAACTGCAATTTTCGTCATTCCGAAATTTCAGGTTCACTCTCCACTAAGAATTAGGAAAACTTAAAAATGGCTGACGAAGTGTCAACAATAGCTATACGTACTTTCATTTTAAAAATGCGCTAAAAATTTAGATTTATAATACTTTTAGAAAAAAAAAATTCTTAAATTGGCAATGTATGTAAGCTTAATTTCTTTCAAATAGGTGCTAAAAATGGCTTTTAGTATCAAGTAGCACCTTAAAATCAATGTCCTTTTTGTGGTGTTGTTTATCGCATTTTCCCTTTTTACTGAAAATAACTCCTGTAAGATGAAACATCCACATCCAGAATCTATCCTCTCATGACTCCTCTAATACAAAAGATTTTTATCTGGACGGTAATTGGGTAGTTCATGCTGGAATATTTAACTGAAATACTTGAGTCAATCTTTTAAGATTTGTATCACGTGTTTCAAGCGGGGGTACTGTGAACACTTTTGGCCATACGTTTCTCCGGCCATTCGTGAAACCGATTTTCAGTTCGGAATATTATTGATTTTTGTAGCAGCTGTTATACGCACAACAAAATGTTCCATGCCAATTTTACCAACAGTCAAAAATTTATCGGAAAAGTACAATTTTGCAAAACCCGCAAAATCCTTTGTTCTTTTATAACTCAATTATGCTTGGAAAAGTAGTAAAACATTGCATTTCCCAAAATATGGATGGATGTACTCCATGTATGCATGTGTAAATAATTTCCAAAAGCGTCTTTGTTTCACTTCAGTGTACCTAGGTTTTCACCTTATTGTTATCAAACTTTGTAAATATTACCCGTATACAGTGAGCACTGGAATTTTTCGAGAAATTTCATCAAAATTATATAATAATGCTACTATTTTCTTATTTCTTATGGACGTCTTATTGGATTTTAACGGAATGAGATAGAGGACAAAAAAAAGAAGACAATAACGCGTCACACTTTTTTGTCCACTGTTTTATTCCATAAAAATCCAATATGGCGTCCATAAAAAATAAGAAAATAGTAACCTGTAGGTAGCTTCTGCATCTAGCGTGTTCTAGAAATTCTAATAACAGATTCAGATTCTCCGAAGAAAACTTTCTATAGAAAGTGTGAGTGAGAACCACCCATTTCCAGCTAGGGAAAATGAAATCCAAATTTGACATTTTCAGTGAAATGCCAGTTATTTTCAAAGATTTTTTTAAACTTCAAATGTGTTATTTTATTCACAAACTGGGGCAACTTTGAATTTGAACCACCCTGTCCATTTCTATTGTTATCTTTTTGAAACGACTATACATAATGGGAAATAGAACATTTTCCTCCCAAATGTCAATTGTAACTTTTTTAGCAGTTCTAATATTTTTGCTTCTTTGATTGAATGTGTTTAGGGTCCATAAGAAGAAACCAGTTGCTAAATTCTTGACAGAGCAGCTTCCTAAGTCAACGCAAATATTTAACAACAAAAAATACGCTTTTGATAGTCATATTAATTTACTGTATGCGCCATTTTATAACTAAACACTAAATTGTTCAAGTTCCTACAAGAAAATTTTTGTTGACCTCTTATAGTATTCAATGCAATTTGGATGTTATATCTTAAAGGATTATTACAAGTTTTGAAAAAAAATCTTATACAAACCGAAACGCAGTCGTCTTTTTTAGGAAATAGTGACTAGGGATGGCAAGTGCAACCTAAGGGTGGTCGCACAAGTTTTAGTCACGTATTTGATTGTAACTTCATGGACGTTCCTGAAATATCGTACAATTTACAATAAATCAACTACAAAAAAACTAATATTTATGTGGTTTTCTCTTGTTTTCTAAAATCATCCTCATCCATTCATCTCCTTTTCCTCTCTCTTCCGGTACTTCACTCCTGCTTTTCCTTTCCTTGCTTTTTCCACTTCTTTACATGCCCATAGCATGTGGTATGTCCTCTTTCTCTCCAGAAATGCTGCATTTCCTTTCTTCTGCTTTTCTTCACTTCTTTTGTTTCTCTTCGTTTCCGCATTTAAACCTTGCTATTATCATGATATTTTTCCTCCTTTTCCTCCTACCTTGCCAGGTCCTTGTACCTACTGTTTCCTTGTGAGGTCTTGATTTCCACTCTCTGTTGCTGTGCTTGTATACCTATCTCCCTTTTTGTAAGTTCATCTGCCATTCTTTCTCCTATTTCTCACCTCCTTTCGACCTCCGTATTCATTTCTGTTATAATATTTTTTCTTTGCCCCCCCCCCTCCCCGTTTCCTTTTGTGGTGATCCTTGGTGACAAACATTCTTTCACTAATCCACTTTGTCTTTCAATCCTTTCCTCTCCTTTCCTACTTATCATCTTCAATTTTTCGACATTTAATTCCATTCCATTTCTTTCCCATTATTTGCTTCCATCTGTTTTTCTCCTGCTGTCCCTTTAGCGTATGCCAGGACCCATATATCTTCCTTCTTCCTACTACGATTCCTCCACTTCGCTGTCATAATATTCGCTCTATATCTCCTATGTACAAATGTTTGGCTAAGTGGACATCCCTGTCTCAATCCTTTTAATGTCCAGAACACTTCAGACTCCTTCCCATCTATCCTTACCCTCATTCTTGTCTTTCCATATAATTCCTTGATTCTGTTCTTTAATTTATTATCTATTTTCCCATTATTTTCTACACCTTTTCCCTTTCCACACTGTCTTTAAATCCATGAAAAACGCTATCATATTTTCGCTTTTTTTCCCATCGATCTCCATTTTCTGAATCCCATTTGTATTTTCTCTTATATTCTCCTCTATTTCCATTTCTAATCCATACAGCCTTTACCATCTCTTTTGCGAATCGGCAGTATTACACCTCCTTTCCATATTTTTTTATTAATATCCTCAGCTTCTGCTTAAAACGATGTGTGTGGAAAATCCAAGCGTCATTTCTTATTTCATCCCTTTCTTCAGTCTGTTTAATTGCTGCTTAATCTCTTCCCTAGCACCCCCTCTCTTCGTACCTCCTCTGTCACCTCCTCTTTCTCCTGCTTTCATTGTAGTACCTTAATAAAGTGCTGCTTGTAGAGCTCTATTTATGTGTCTGTCTCATTTGTTCTTTTTCTCTTTTCCAAAAATGCTTCACTTCAAAAAATGTTTTTTCCAACCGTCAGATTAAGAGAATCTCTCTAAATTATCATCAGATTATGGGGTCAGCACTACTAGGATATCAAAGTAAATCGGCTGTATAATAATCTGACGCACTCGGGTATTTCAAAATTGCGTTTTTTTTTACATTTTCAAAAAGCTGCATCGAGCTTGCGTCAGGTACAAATTGTCAGTCTTTTAAGTGGGAGTTTCTTTGGAGATTGCGTAACATCCCCTCTAAATATCTAGTGCGCTTGAATAAATCTCGTTTTCTACCCTTCTTTGCAGTCTCCTCCACCATGCAAACCCGCAGATTAACATACCTCCAATATCAGAGACACGTGGGAAATTATACAGTATGAATACGCTAGAGTATTTTCATAGGACTATTTTTTGCGTTTTGCCCGTCTGTCCGTCTGTCCCGACCCACTTCTGCCTTGTTGAACTACTTTTAGGGGAATGCTCCTGGAATTTTTTTCAATAGGCTGCCTATACATTAGAAGTGTGCCAGATGGCCATCAAATTTCACAGCACGTTTAAGGAAATTATAAAATATTTAAATATTTCACAGGTTTGGAGATATTTAAATAAATTTTTTCGAGTTCATCGCAAATTTTATTGCCAGGCGTTGTATGGGATTGGCCGAATTAATACAAAATAAAGCAATACTCAAGTGAACTAGTAAACAGTGGTAGTGATTAGAGAAAAGTGAAACACAAGTACGTATAAATTATAAAAAGTAGCGAATTGTTAAAATACTGCTGTTCGTGTCACGTGTCAACCTACATAAGTAGCGCTCCCTTTGGGCACAACACAATAACGAAGAGTGCTTAAAGCCATTTATCAAAAATACAAAGTAGCTAGTAAAGTTTTCATGAAAACTCTTCAGATATTTCTATTGTACAATTTAACTTCGTACCTCTTCAGCTTCCACATATTTCATTTGCCGAAGACGCAACGTTATAAATAATACGTCTAAGTACGATGTCATATAAGATCGCATTAATTCGTGTAATTCAAGAGCTTGATTTTGGACAAAGAGTCGCTATTTGTTGACGCGAGGAACTCATCCCATAAATCAAATCGAATGTGGCGAACGCGGTAAAAACCATGTTCTCCGAGTTACCACACACATAAATATTAATTTTAACTTGGCGGTTGTAAACTGCGAATTGCTTCATGGCTTGCGGATATCACAAACTTTATCTCGGTATATCAAATGCGCCGATGTCGTCATTTAAAACGTGACAATTATTTTCGAATAGAAACAGAGCCCTAATGGTTATTTTGACAATTCTCGAGCTCTGTTACCAGTTATTCTCTACTTTAACAATGTGTACGACATTACGTGTTGAATATCGCGCTTTAGGCATTCGTGCTAGTACGAACGCTTTACCAATTATACGTAAATAGGTTTTTATAAGTGAATATATTGTTTTCAGAGTTCTGCAAAGCTGTGGTTTGAAAGACATTCCAACGGAAGCACTCCATCCTCTAACTAAACTTGGCACTTTGTAAGTACACATTTTTTTAGTTAAACCATTCTTTTATAACATCGATTCGACAACAAAAGAAATTTACAAAAAGGTGCAAGGCTTTGGGGAAATTTTTCGCAAACGAATTTTGTTACTGAGGGTTCCTGGTGTGGATACTGTTTTAGGCTTGAGGTTTGGAAGTGCATAGTGGGTTGAGTGCATAAATCAGCATTAACTGATGAGACCTGGCCCGCTTATAGCTATTAAAATAACTAGGTGTTTTGTAGGTACTTTACATTTGGCAAGTTTACTGGCCGACAGTACTTTCCGCCAGCAAACTTGCCAAATGTAAATTAGGCTTAAAGACCGATGCCCATTTCAATTTTTTATAACACTGAAGCATACAGAGTGGCCCAACGAGAAGTATACAGAGGGCTTTTAGGGTATTAAATTTAGAAATTTCGAAAAATCCTCGAACACGTCAATTTTGTATTCGCGGGGGACAACTTTTGGAGTACAAATCACGAACCCAAGTCTTCACCCCTCTACGTAGAGAGCTTAACCCCTAAAATTTTAAATGGAATCCTATGGCAAATGGCACATTATTTGAAAGCCAATTTAATCGTGATTACCTACTATCTGCTTTGCTTTTTAAATTCTATTGATTCGTTTCGGAGATAATTCGCATTTGAAATGGTTTTTTCTAAACCAAAACACATGCGATCTAAGTCACCTTGTATTAAAATTTTATTTTGACGCAATTTGTTAAACTTAAGTGAACCTGTCAGTTCTCCGAAACGAATCAATAGAATTTAAAAAGCAAAGCAGATTAGTAATCACGATTACATTGGCTTTCCAATAATGTGCCATCTGCCATAAGATTCCATTTAAAATTTTAGGGGTTAAGCTCCCTACGTAGAGGGGTGAAGACTTGGGTTCGTGATTTCTATTCCAAAAGTTATCCCCCTCGAATACAAAATTTACGTGTTCGAGGATTTTTCTAAATTTCTAAATTTAATACTTTTAATTTATACATCTCGTTGGGCCACTCTGTATTTTACTTATACTTATACTTTATCCTTATTAAGAATAATGCCGAATCATAATCCGTACGTACCTCTCACACTAATTACTCGCAAATATAAATCCGCTAAGCGTATTAAATGGAGCAGCCACAACACATCATAAATAGAGGAAAGCACTCCAAAAAGATATAACAAAGACAGGTAGACAAGTAGCAGTAATGGCGTATTGAGAAAAATAATATTGCAACTAACCACTGTGAAGGCAATATACCTATTCTCTGAAGGGAACTCGCACAGGGAAGGCGTAAGAGAAAATTTAAGAAGAAGGAATAGAAGGAAGTGCAGAAAACTATACACAGTAAACTCTAGCGGCGGATTAAAGAACTAATGTAATAACAAATCTACCATTGAAATAACTTACATCTTAACTAAACAGGATTACAACGGAAATACCTAGATAGCGTAAGAATATCACTTAAATTTGGAAATTAGTTTTAAGGAGCCTAGTATTTGAATAAAAAATGCACATTGTGTATATCTGTGCTTATGGCCTTGATTAAAATAAAACGATAATTGTCATTGTTCGCAACTTGCAATTTTGTAATGTAGGCATCTCAAGATAATACAGAAAATGTGCGATACTTCTCTGATTCAGAATCGGAAAAGTCCAAACGCTTCATAACAAAATGCAAACAGAAATCGCTTGACCCACCATAAAAAAAAACTCCCAGGCGAACACCATATTTTTTGTCAAAAAGGTCGCCGAGCAGTGAGTGTATGTTATAGCTTATTGCGCTTTCGAAATAATTTAGGTACTCGGGGTTCTTGGCGCGATGAGTGAGTGCTTGCCAATTTTCTTTGAAAAGAGCACGTAATTTTAGCATTACCATTAGATCAGAAGAGGGTGTCCGTGCACGATTAGCAACGTCGGAATTATTTAACGATTTCAATAATGTAATCAAAGAAAGGATTCCGTTTGCAATGTAGACATCCAGACTCCACTTTCATGGACCTTCGTTCTCTGTATGTCATTTAACAAATACTTCAGTTTAAACATTTCTTAGCCCTCGCTTTAAAATTGCACATTGCAGGTTCACTTCGTATTTAATTTACTGTAAGGAATTGTGGTTAAATATTAATGAAATGTAAAACAAGATGACATTGTCGCTCACATACTGAAAAGGGAAGCTTTTTGTCAATATATACGGTAAATTTAAAAACCGCTTGCGTAGTTTATGAGGTGAATTATTTAGTTTTTATGGCCATTCGAATCAATAGACCTAAATGTTAAAATACTGCTATCGTTTTCTGCCACAAACTGTACAAAATTCGGTCGTAAAAAAGAGACAGTAAACTTCCGCAAAAAATGTAAAATAAATTAAAAATCAACAGGGGAAAGTGCTTTAATGGACATTAACAGATTTTTATGGCCACTAACGCCGCCAGGTTTTTGGCGAGAAAAAATGTATGGAAGATTTACCAAAGCGCAATTTCGTTCTGAGCTTTATTACGCCATGAAGCTCACTTTCAGCATTTTTTTTGCATGAAAATTTTGCGTATGCCCTTACAAAATCGAAACTCTCTGTTAACAGTTGTCATCCAGAAATTAATTCTAGCATTTTGTTTATGTTGAACTTTTGTTTATTATGAAAACCATAAAAACCGAAATAAGTTTTAACAGCCGTATTAAACTGTCGGCATCATTTTAAGTTTCATAATTTATCGGAAAACTTAAGAAACGATAGCAATATAATTTGTTTAAATTGTCTTTTAAATCTGATTTCCATATCGACTTTTAAAAAAATTATGATTGTTTACTGCTTTCCAATGAACGACTTTATAGAATATATTAACTGCATTTATTGAGCACACAAAGATACGGGAGCAGTTGAACTTTGCTACTGTTCTAAAACTACACGCTTGATTATTGCTTCAATTTCCCTTCGTAGCTGTAAATCATCATACATTTTGTGTCTGTTGTCAGAGTTGCAAGAAAATACCGAAGTGTATTTCTGCTTCAGTTTTATAATAAGATGACTGTTACAAACTATCCACTTTACTTGTCGACTAAGTACTCATACTTTGTATTAATGAAGTCTCTTCTTTTATCTTATTTCATCAAGGAGTATATGAAAAGTTAAAATAGTTTGCACTTTCCTGTTTCTCGGAGCTTACTGCAGATTAAAACTGCTATCGCCGTTCAAAAACTCAGCGAAGGCGACACGCAAAGCTCATACTTGAGAATAATCTGCGCCTTCATGCAAGTGGATGAATCGTACAGTTTATTGTCGGGAAACACATCGCCTTTTATGAGTTTTCAATACTCGTAGCAATTTCTTGGCACAACTCGTAAAATAACAGGTAGTTTTAGTGATCGTGGTACTTCAGCAATGACGATTTAGTGCCAGTGTATAATATATGCTGTTTGCGGTTCATTAGATTTTCCTTGTGGATACCGGAACGTTTACAAGCCATAACTTTGATTCATTTATTAACGAGCGACAAAGCTCGCTCATGATTTTGGACTTTCTGTTCGTCCGTCCGTCTGTGTACATGATACCTCGCGAACGGTTTCGAATTTTCCAATTTTATTTTCAGTAATAGGTAGACAATGGGACTAACCGACGCCTACGATACTTACAGACCGGAGGGCTCGAAAAAGTCACGTGACCTTAGGAGTCAGTACGGGACACATTACGGCTTATGGAAAATCCGTGCGCAGCTCCACTATTTATTTTTTACTCCGGATCCGTTTAACATAGAGCCACAAAATATCAATGAGAGCTGGTCAATGGTACAGGCAATTAAATTATGGTGTTTGTTAATTTTTAGTATCTAACACTGGAAATAGTTAATTTTAAGATTTAAAGTCTGAAGATAAAACGACGATAGTAAATTCGTGTTTTTTCTATATTTCCACCGTCATATTTCTGTTTCTAGAAACGATATCATTATAATTCTTTCGGTGTCTTAAACTAGAATGATATGCGCCTCCAATTATGGGTATATAATGCCTTATCTGGTATAAGTGTAGATTTAACAGGCCCTACAAAATCGCGCATTAATTATCCGCGCAGAGCAAAATTCACTCTGCGAGACTTTTTTTGTTGTTACAATTGGATCACATATATCGAATGAATTGTGGCCAAAGGACACAAAAATGTTTTTCAGAAGGAATTTTTACAAAATGTTTTTTTTGTTTCCTTTTTCAGCAGTTTTAGTAAATAGCGCGACTTCCGGAACACGCGAACGCGCAATGGAAATTATTATTTTTTAAATAATTATTACTAATGGACTTTAGACCTTAAAATTAACTATTTCCAGTGGTAGAAAGTAATAATTGTTATGAAAATTACAAAGGTATCTCAAAACGATTAAATTTATTATGATTAAACAATGAGTAAAAAAATAAACTCTTACAGTCCCTCCAAAGAAGGCGAAAACCTAATTCTAACGAAATAAAATATTTCCGCTGGTCAGATAATTAAAGATATTATAGTATACAAGATAAACAATAAAACATTTAAATTACATATTAAACGAAATACAGGAACAGGATTGGAAATAATAAATATCACATCAGTATTTGATTACAGAACTTTCTTTGTAGTGAATTTAACACACTAGGCATGATATTCAAAAAAGATTCAAGTAATTCAAAATAATTAAAGGAAGATTCAAAAAGATTTAAAAAGGAATTTAAGAAATTAAAAGAGGTTCAAATGATTTCAAAAATATATATTTTTGAAAATATAGTTTAATATGCTATCTTTCTATGTTAAAATATACAGTGTGTTCGATTTAAAAAGATGAGGTTACGTCCGGGAACCTTTTTACCTGAACCCTATATATTTATTTTGGAGACGGCAAATTGTTGAACAATCATTATAAAGAAACTTTTGTAATACACACTTTTCTGTTTCTCTTTTAACTGGGTCGTAATGAAATTTAATTTTTAATTTTTCCACGTATCATTTAAACGAGCGAATATTTTGAAATTTTGATTTTACCATT